TGAACGAGTGTGTATGAGTGAAGCTGTGGATTACTTGCTCTTCTTTGCATTGGCCGACATAAATTGCTCAGGGATCGCTGGGATCCCGGGATCCAAGCCAGAAGGTAAAGGGAAGCTGGGAAATGGTAGCCTCGCCAGTGACACAAACACAGGCAGCGACCACGAAATGGGGCCGGGAGCCACAGCGATGATGGCACACTCGTGCCTCCCTTTGCACTCACTCACTCACGCGCTCAGAGATCGTTTACTGAGTACCTAGGTGCCTGGAAGCTGCATGACAGACAAGAATACTGGCGATCTTTGGCCAGGGATGCGAGTAAGGACAATCACGCCTGTAATAACTAGCCATACTGTGGAGGCCCGAGGCTGGAAGATCGCTTAAAGTCAAGAGTTTGAGACCAGCCTGAGCAAGAGCAAGGCCCCCGTCTCTACCAAGAATAGAAAAAATTAGGTGGACTTGGTGGTGCTTGTCTGTGGTCCCAGCTATTCAGGAGGCTGAGGCAGGAGGATCGCTTGGGCCCAGGAGTTTGAGATTGCTGTGAGCTATGATCACGCCACTGTCACTTTAGCCAGGTGACAGAGCAAGACTCTGTCTCAAAAAAAAAAAAAAAAAAAAAACCAAAAAGAAAAAAAAGAGAAAGAATTCTGTTCTCACCAAGCTTAACGTGCAGCAGTCCCTGGACCGTACCCCTCGCTGCTCACCCTGGCCTGCTCACCTAGCCTGGGGTTTGGCGGGGAGACCTTTACCCTCAGGGAGGCCGTGCTGCATGAATGGTGGCCAATGATGGGCCCCCTGGGTGTGGACACATGAGGAGTGTGAATGAGGGCCTGGTTGGGGCAAAGGCTCAGGGTGTGGCTGGCCATCACTCATGTGGTACCTCTGGGGGGTCTTGTTGGAAGAGGCAGACTCTAGGAGAAGACTTTAGGGGGCACAGGCGTGTTTGAGCACAGGCCAGTGTGAGGGAGTTGGGGGGTGAGTAGGCATGGAGGAGACCCAGAGGGGCCCCGGCTGGGAGCGCTGCTGGCACCGGGTAGCGTGGGTGAGTCAGGGTGGACGCCCGCAGCTCGCCGGCCCTGCTACCAGTTCCCCAGACACTTGGGGACTTCTGCAGAATTCCGGAGCGTTTAACATCTCCGACTAATTAGCCGCTGCCTGCTACCATCGAGGGAGGACAGGGGCGCTTGGAGGCGGCGGCTTTGAAAGCCAGCGCTGCTCCTTGACAAAGCCAGCCTGGGGAGGTTTCAAAGACAGCTTCTGAGCGGCCTGCATGTTTCATGTTCATTAGATCCTCGCTTCCCAGGCTCCAAAGACAAACAGTGGGATTTAAGGGTTTTCTTCCCTTTTTGGAGCCATTTCGTTCTGAGCTAAGCGTTCAGCTGGGGAGGAGGCAGAGCCAGCTGAGCAACTTGGTCCTCCAAATCCACAGCCTAAGCAGAGCCCGGCTCCATTTCCTCTGCACACTGGAAGCTTCCCAGGGGACCCCAGAAGCTCTGCACCGGCCCCTGCCCCCGGCTAGGTGAGCAGGTGCCCTGGCCGGCTGGGGGTGGGCAGTGGGGGGGACCATCCAGGGACTGCTGGACTTTAAGCTTGGTGAGGACAGGACCCTCCTGTTTGTCATCACCCCCCCCAGCACCTAGGCTCTCAGCAAACGCTGACTGAGCAAGCAAGCAGAGGATGAAGCGTGCCCACCATCTGCTGTGGCTCCTAGGCCATTCGTGCTGCCTGCCCCGCTTTGTGCCACTGGGAGCTAGTTACCTTTCCCGGCTTCTCTTACCTTCTGGCTGCTGGATAGGTTCAGCTAATCAGAGGCACTGGAAGAAGATGGAAGGAGAGGAAAAGGCAGGCTTATATCTCCCCTGTCTCTGTTTCGGGCCATGTCTCTGCAGCATCCATGTCTCCTCGTCGGCTCCTGCTGAACTGCCCATGTCTGCACAGCCCAGCTCCCTCCGGCTGGCCCGCACTGGCTCCAGCTCTGTCTGCTGGCCTTGGCGTCTAGGCTCCTAGACGCTGCCTCCTACCTCCTGCCCCAACAAGGGGGCAACTTCCTGCCGTTGCTGATCTGGGTCTCCCTACCTCTTCTGTCATCTGAACAACCAAACCCCTCATTTAAATCCCTGTGCTTGAAAGGCCTGGAGTGGTTTCTGTTTTCTCAGTGGACTCAGAGGAATGAATGAGTGGATGCGCTACTCGTTCCCATCTGAGAGGACAGCGTACGAGCAGCTGTCCGAGTGGGTCGCTCTGCCTGGGATCTGGAATCTTACGGATGTGGCAGCCTTGCCCTGGGCAGGACGCCCCATCCCACTGCTGGGGCACATGCCTCTGGCACGTGGGTCTTCCCCTAGCCCAGGGGATGTCACCCTTCTATCCCGGCATTGCTCACTCTCTGAGCTCGGCGCTGCTGCATGATGCAATAGTATAAGATGTGGCCCACCTCACACCCATTAGGATGGCTCCTAGCAAAAAATCCAAAAAAATAACAAGTGTTGGTGAGGATGTGGAGAAATTGGAACGCTCGTGCACTGTTGGTGCGAATGTAAAATAGCGCAGCTGCGGTGGAAAACAGTGCCGGTGGTTCCTCAAAAATTAAGCATAGAATTACCATATGATCCGGCAATTCCACTTCTGGGCATATACCCAAAGGAATTGAAAGCAGGGTCTCGAAGAGATGTTTGTACACTCATGTTCATAGCAGCATTATTCACAATAGCTAAAATGTGGAAGCAGCCCAAGTGTCCGTCAATAGATGAATGGATAAGCAAAATGTGGTCTATACATACAATGGACTATTCAGCTTTAAAAAGGAAGGAAATTCTGATGAATGCTACAATATGGATGAACCTTAGGACATGACACAAAGTGAAATAAGCCACACACAAAAGGACAAATACTACACGATTCCACTTATATATGAGGTACCGAAAGTAGTCAAAATCATAGAAACAGAAAGCAGAATAGTGGTTGCGGGGCTGGGGGAGAGGGAATGGGGAATTATTGTTTAATGGGTACAGAATCTCAGTTTTACAAGATGAAAAGAATTATGGAGATGGATGGTGGTTATGGTTGCACAACACTGTGTATTTAATACCCACTGAACTGTACACTTAATAATGGTTAAGATGACAAATTTTATGCTATGTGTATTTTTGTGTTACATTTTGTGTACTACAATTTTTAAAAAAGTAAAAAAAAAAAAAGTGCAAGATGTGGCATAAAGGCACAGCAAGGTGCAAAGAGGGAAAATCCATCTGCTGCTGCTGCCAGACCCTGTGCAGGCCTTTTAGTCTGTCTCTGTGAACGCTCACAATGACACTGTTGGGTAGGTCATCTTATCCTCATTTTATAAAGGAGGAGGCTGAGACTCTAAGAGCTTAAGTGGCCTCTTTCCTCTCGCACAGCCACAGGGTCACTAGGTGCTGTCCATTCGCTCTCCCTCTACACCTCTCCTCACCCACCTGCCCGTCCTCTCCACCCCTGCTCCCTGGAAGCACTCTGAGTCCTTCGCCATCTCTCTAACTGCCTGCCTCCCCCCAGCTTCCTCCAGCCCATCTTCCACACCCCTGCCAGGGCTGTTTTCTAAAACACAAATCGAACACATAGCTTAGTGCTTGAAACCCTTCAATAACTCCCATTGCTTAAGGATTAAGGTTCAGTTTCCCTGGCCTGGCAGTGAAGGCCCTCTGGGATCTGGGCCCAGTGCCCGTCTCCAGCTGTGTCTCCTCCTCACCTTCCCTCCCTCCCCCCTGCCCCATAATTCAGCCTTGTGAAGCCACGTGGTGCATCTCTAACAGAGCTGGTGGGTCATACCTCCTTGCCTTTGCAAGGACTGTCCGTCAGCCCTGAGGATGCCTCTCCCTCATCTCCCTGGGAAGCTCCTGTCCTTTCTTCCAGTCCTGGCCTCAGCGTCTGCCTCTCCCGGACACCTTGCACAGCGACCCTGGTCGAGGTTGTCTTCTTATTCCTGTTACAGTCATCACACTGAATTGCAACCACCTGTTTTTCTCTCAATTTCCCTCCTAGACTGTGGGTTCCCTCAGGGCAGGAGCTATGTTTCATTCACTCATTCATTTAAAAATATTTATTGAGCACTAACTTTATGCCAGGCACCGTGGCAGGCCCTGCGATGCTTGGTTCATGTCATGGAGTGTAGGAGTGTATGGTCTAGTGTGGAATAATCAGTCACGCCAATAAATATATCATTATAAATTATGAAGGAAAGGTAAAGGGCGGGATATCTTTGGTGTCTGGTACCCTAAACACCCAGTGTATTTATAGTGCGGCTCCCACACTGTGGGAGGGGCTTCCTCTCCTTGTCTGCTGTCTGCAGGGTCTGGAGCACAGTGGGTGTGTGTTGAGTGCAGGTTGAGAGAGAAATGGAATCACATTCCGATGTGTGAGCTGACATGGGCCTTGCTGCCGGGGGGAGCCCAGGCCACTGGGCAGTGTGGTCAGGGCTCTGGGGAGGGCTGCCCTTCCTCTCTCTGAGCACTGCCCCCATGACCATGGGGAGCAGGAAAAGGGGAGTCCTTTCAGTTCTGTCACTTAGTAGTTGTGTGATCTTGGGCAAGTCATGTAGCCTCTCTGAGCCTCAATTTCCTCTTTATAAAATGTAGATCATAATAGTACCTAGTCAATTTGCTATGAAGAGATTTAAACTAATATACAGAAGGTATTAGAGCAATGCCTGGCATAGCGCACGTGCTTTGCAAATATGAACTATTTGTGATCTCTTTACTGCACGTTCCCGGTGAGTGCCCCGCTGTCATGCAGGGACCCCGGGTCCCGCCCCCATCCCGCACCCCCAGCTTCCTCTGGCGTGGCACGCGACTGGAGTCCCATCTTTCCCTCGCTAAGAAGCTGTGGGTAACTGGGGCTTAATTAAGCATGCTTCACTGGGGTGTGATTAGCGCCTGCCTGCCTATGAGTCAGCAGGGATGGCTGGGGTGGGGCGGGGGACAGAGGGGATGGAGAGTGGAGCAGAAAGAGGCTTCTGGTGCCCAGGGCTGTACTTGCAGGCTCAGTAAACCCACTTTGTTCAACAATTGAGGGGGATAGGGCGAACAATCCCTCAGCTCTCTATTGCCTCTAACAGCTCTCACCAGACACCCCACCTGAGCACGGAGCTAGAGCTGTATGGTTGCACTGCTCATTCATTCATTCGTCCAGTAACTATCGCTTGCTTGCTATATACCCAGGCATCGTCTCAGTGCTGGGGACAGTGTACTGAGCGAATGCACACAGATCACTGTCCTCATGTAACAGACAGACTCGGGGCACAGATAAGCACATAGGGACTAACTAAAATGCCCTGTGACCACTGCCACCATGTTGGGGGAGGAGGGTTGCATACAGGAGACCCTCAGAAGAGCCCACTTTTCCTTCCTCTGGGTATCCTGTCTGGCATAGCCTCTCACTCTCTTTCCTTACCTGTCTAACTCCAGGCAACCTGAGGGCGTGGTCTATGTGGTTTTACCCCCAGGTCTTGGCACAGTGCTCAGAACATAGCAGGTGCTCAGAGAATTGGTTTAAATGAACCCCGGCTTGGGAAGCAACTGGCCGCACAACTCCTTAGAACAGAGGCCGGCATACTATGGTCTGCACGTCAAATTCCACTTGCAACCAGGCCATTCTGTATGGTTTTCAAACTAAGAATGGTTTCTATGTTTTTAAAGCGTTGGATTGTTGGGGGAAAAAATCAAAGGAAATATGCCGTAGAGACATAAATGTGGCCGGCAAAACCTGCAACATTTCCTCTCTGGCCTTGCACAGAAAAAGTTTGCCCACCTTGAAGCCTGTCTGCACCTGTTTTCTAGTCTAGGAAAGGTGAGGCTTGAGTTAGATGTCACAAGGGTGCTGTGATTAATTCTGCATTCCGGAGGCTGAGACAGGAGGATCGCTTGAGCCCAGGAGTCTGAGGTTGCTGTGAGCTAGGCTGGCGCCATGCACTCTACCCCAGGCAACAGAGTGAGACTGTCTCACTCATGCTGGTACCACGAGCACCTCCACAGTGCCCTGCACACAGCAAGTGCTCAGGAGAGGTGGCTGCAACGTGGGGGTGTGGTCACCCTTCCTTCTGTGGACCTCCCCTGCGGGGCGGAATCCTGCTCAGAGATCCCTGAGCCTCTGCCCCTGCCAGTCCCCACCCCTCCTCCTTCTAGAGAGCAAAGTGGTCACACCCTCTCCTTGGCCCACCATTTAGTGGGTGAAGCATCTGTCAGGCTCTGTGATGAACTTCGCAGGTGCAGGAGATGCATACGGGGTTCTGGGGGATGAGAAGGGGCTCTGAGATAGCTCTGTCGCTGCACAGCTGTGTGAGCTTAGGCAAGTCATTGAACTCTCAGAGCCCTTGTCCCTCACCTGAAACAGGGGGGTAATAATTCAGCACCCACTTCCCAGGCTTGCAGTGAGAATTCAAGGAGCTGTTGGAACCCAGAGGTGCTCTGTCAATTCCACAGTGCTGTACAAAGGCTGGTGCTATTGTCACTGTCATTACCGGACACATTACGGGTACTCAGCTTTGTCACTTGGTCCCACTGGATACAACTGAATGGGAGAGGTGGTTCTGGTAAGAAGGAGGGTTTCCTTTTTGAAGGTCATGGTGGATTCTAAAGCTGCCCATCAGAAGGCCCAAGGATGAGTGCCCCAGGGTGGGATGTTTGTGGCTTTGGGGTTCCCCCTGTTTAACCTCTGCCTGCCCCTTCACTTGTGAAGGCTGAGAAACGCTATGGGATGGGACAGTTTATTAAGGTCCTGGGAGGGTGAACCCCCAGAGTCTTGGTCCCCAATGACTCCCTGGGCCCGGGGTTGGAGCCAGACCCCCATGGCAGTCTTAGCAAGGCCCTCACCATCACCTCTGTCCACTGGGAAGGGAGTTTGGCTTTGCTGCCCAGTCTGGCTGCCTGCCCCCTTCCCTGGTGGCTCAGACTGCCACAAGATAGCTTCGTTGCTCCACTACCTTGACCTTTGCTTAGCATTTTCTTTTCTGTGAGCTCTCCTGCATATCATCCCCTTGGTTTTCTACAAGCACCCTATGTGGTAGGAGTATTATTTCCCCCATTTTATAGATGAAGATACTGAGGTTCAGAGAGGTTAAATGAATAACCTCAAGAAAGTGTCCCAGCTGGGATGAGATCTGGGCTCCTTACTTCCAGGGCTCTTTCTGTGGCACCAAACTGTTTTTCTTCACTTGCCTCACCTGTCCCCACAAATCTGCCTTCTTTTTGCCCCCCCCCCCAACGCCCAGCTGCCCTCCCTTTGCCCCAGCTGACTCACAGGCCTGGAAGAATCCCTTTTTCCTACATGTCCGTGCTGGTACGGGTGCAGGCTGGCTCCTGCGGTGGAACCCCCTGGACAGCAGTGGGGCTTTGGGGCCTCCCTTGCCTGGGCCTGACCTTGGGGTCTGGGGGCTGAGAAGACTGGGGAAGGTGCATGCCAGGGGCACTAGGGAGGGGATGTCAGACTCGGTTACCATGACGTGGAATGTTCATGCTGCCATGGGGCCTGGGTGTCACACCGCATTAAGCGGGCGCTCAGGGCTTGCTCCCTCTGGCCCAGAGATCCAGCCCCTTTCTCCCTTCCCCCTGCTTGATGCCACACTTAGTGACATTCTTGACCCCTGGGG